GAAGTAGGAGGAGTAGGAGGAGGAGGACCAATGCAAACCGAAGAGTCAGCAACGATATTAGAGTAACCCCTACCTGCAAGCCCCCTCTTCAGAGGCCCTTACCACGGTTCATGTCCATTGATGGAATTGCCTCGTTGGACGACACCCGTTCGAAGACCCTCAAGCATGCTAAAACGCTGTTCTCGGAATTCCACCACGGACCAACTCGACTGTTGCTTTTTGGCGATTCTGAATCGTGCCAGAACGTCATTCCTAGGACTTCAACACAGCGAATCAACGTAACTGCTGCACCCGTATCATCCTGAACCTTTTCAAAACACCATTTCTGGTACATTGATGATGGGAATCCGTGAAACACTTGCAATTTGTAACAACGAGTGTGCGCGGCGCTAAGGCGAGAGCCACATTTTGAACACGACTCTCCCTCAATCTGTGAAACCCTTGCAATGTTTAAACAAATGTGCGCGGCACTAGGGCGAGGGCCACACTTTGAAAACGACGCGCCTTCAATCCGTGAAACTCTTGCACCACGAGTGTGCGCCGCGCTACGGCGAGAGCCACATGTTGGAAACGATCCGCCCTCAATCCGCCAAGCTCTTGCAAAGTATGAAACCGAGTGTGCGCCGCGCTAAGGCGAGAGCCACATTTTGAACACGACCCGCCCTCAATCCGTGAAGCTTTTGCCAATATTCAGGCCGCACTAACAACCGACGGGCCACAGTAACACCTTATCTCTCCTCGCCCCCCGCCCCCTCCCGCCCCCTTCCTCCTCCTGCGCCTGCCCCTCCTTCCCTCTCTCCCCTCCTCGGCTCGACTGCCCCAGGACGCACTGGGGGGGTCCTCTCGGACCGCCCCCGCGCCACGGGACTGTGACCCTGGCCGCCCAGGGGGAGCGACGGATGCCGACGGACGACGGACGACGACGGGCGACGACTCTTGCCGCCGTCGTTGGTCATCGTCGTCCGTTGTCGCGGCCGTCCGCCGCCGCCGCTGCCGTCGCCGTCGTCGTCGTCATCGTTTTCGTCGTCTTCCTCGTCGTCGCCGTCGTCGCCGTCGTCGCCGCCGTCGTCGTCGCCGTTGTCTGTTGTCTTTTTCCATTGCCGTCAGCGTTCCCCATCGACGTCGTCGTCGACGTCGACGTCGTCGTCGACGTCGTCGTCGACGTCGTCGTCGTCCTCGTCTTTGTCGTAGCTGCCACCGCCGCTGCCGTCGCCGCCGTCCGCCGCCGCCGTCGCCTGTCGTCAGCCGTCGTCCGTTGCCGCAGTCGTCCGCCGTCCGTCGTTCGCCCTCGTCGCCGCCGCTGTCCTCGGAGGCACCCCCCCCCGCCGCCGCGGGGCCCCTCTGCGGGCTGCCCCAGGCCGCCGCGGCCTTCGAGGGGCGCCACGACTTCGCCCGCTTCCACCAGAAGGACCCCGGCGGCTGCCAGCGGGCGCCACGTCGGCCCCCGGGTGTGCCCCGAGGCTCTCGCGACCGTCTCCAGACCCCCTCGCGGCTCGCGCAGAGGCCCCGACGGGCGGTGTTCGGCCACTGTCGCTCTCCAGGAGCCCTCCCCGAGGGCCCCCAGCACTGCCAAGAGGCGGCTCAGGATGAGGGGCCGGCCACGGGGAAAGGGCCGGACTTCTGGATGTCCACTTCGAGAAAGAAAACTGACGTCGGCGTTAGGCATTTCTGGAGCTCCCCTGGGGCCCTCACCCTGGGCCTCGCGAGGGGGGCCCCCTGGGGGCCGCGGGGGGGTCGTTCCTGCTTGAAGTTCTCCCAGGGGTGCACCCGCCGTTGCCTGTGGTGGTTTCTCCCGGCTCGGGCCCTTTTGCGGAGCTCCTTGGCATGCCATCTTGGGGCCGTCTGGTGGCGGTCTTGGGTTCCTGAGATCTTGGCGTGGCATTTTGTTTCACGACCGGGGTTTTTGCCCCGTTTGGGGGGCCGTGGATCGATCCGGCTCGAACAATGATGCAGAAAGATGGGGTCAGGGGCTTTTGTCGTGAATGTATGCGATGGTGCATATTTTGTTTTGCAAGTTCGGATCTCAGGGCCCTCTCGGAAATATGTTGGAGGGTATGTGCCGGGCCGGGCAGAATGGGCCGCAGTGTGGGAAGCTCGACTACACATCAGAGTGACCCTTCGCTGGAGTGACCTTTGGTGCGGGCCGATTGGGGTCTCCCGATCGCCGAACTCGATGCGATAGTAGCGTCTTACGCGCTTGGGTTTGGTTCCCCCGTCAGCTGGGCCTTCGGCCTAACCAGTGCGAATTATAATGTTGAGTAGAACGATGATTTTTTGTTGGCAGGGTTGATGATTTTTGCAATAGTTGAGTAAATCGTTGACGAAGTTTTGAAGAGTTGATTAAATCGTTGACCAGCGTTTTTTGGGGTTATCCTTGAAGACGGTACCACGTATTACGTATTTTCGCATGGTGGTGCGTTTCGGCGAGCATTTTTGAACGCGCAATGTTCGAGCAGGAACCGTATGTCTGCATCAGGGCTTGGCGGAACCGCTATTTAGGGATTTCGGGCACTGCCCTCATAATTTGTTGAACCCTGAGGGTTTGTTGAGGACGGGGGAGGAGGAGGAAAGGAGGGCGGGGGGGAGGAGAGCTGGACGCAAAAGTTGAACAGTTGTGTGGTTGCGCTGCCTTCGGCTTCGGCCTGGATTCTACAGTTGGGCGACTGTTTGCCTGCACTACCGTCAGCCCTGGGCTGAACAGTAATGCTGGGTAGTCGTTTCTTGCGCGTCCTTCAGCATCGGACGCAGCGCCGCGCGCAATGCGCCATGTAACACTTGAGTATTAGATCGTTGGGATTTTGCACTCACCTCCAGGTGTTAGTCCTGCACGATTGGACACGCGGAGTGGCGATAATTCGTAACTAGTCATGCAACGCGTGATCGTAAATGCATCTATGCTCAAAGCCGCCCTATATGCGTCAGTTTGCCCTATGCCCCCACGGCCGCCACGCCCCAACCTCATATACCAAATCCAATACATATTATGCGTCGTTGGGTATGATGCCGCACCCCCCAGCCAAAACGCCAGCGCCTTTCACAGCAGTTCATGTCCAAACAACCCCCCTTCGCACCCGCCTTATCAACAGTTTTGGACGCCCTGTCCCGAACGGGCTGCAGCGTGAACTTTTAGACCCCGCGCGCAACCCCAACGCCAGCCCTGACCGTCCAAAGTTTGGCGACGTCGAAGGCTCTGGGGGCGCCTCGACCAGGTATTTGGTGAGCTCAATCTTTGTTGGCGGCGATAAAAAACATCATACCTGCGCGCGCACGTGCCCGACGTACCACCCCTACTACGCATCTTATGTTCCACCGCCATTGTAAGCATGTTTAGTAATGCGGTGTTTTTTTTGTTACGCGTTCGCTGTCCTCACGCCGCTCTCCTCACGCCGCTCTCCTCACGCCTGGCTCTTGCCTTCTGCACCATCGCTCCGCAGGTGGCGACTCGCGGCATCTCTGGCGCGCGAGGCGACCCGAGCTCGGGGGGCGCAGCAGATTCGCTGCGTCTTGTCTATGACAGTTGGAAAATGATTGAAATCATTGAACATGGGTGAACAAATACTCCAGACTTCGTAATAAAGGGAGGGGGGTCTCATGGTCTCATTTCGGGGGGGGTCTCTTCCAGGCTATCTTGGAGGGCCTGGGGGGGTCTGGGGACGATGTTTTGGAGGGTTCTCCCACGGGTGGGGTCTAAAATTTCTCGTCTGGGAGGGTTGAGACCCCCTCCCTTTTATTACGAAATCTGGAGTATTCGAGCAATAGTCGGCAAAGTAGTTGCGAACAAGTTGGTGGGCCATTTGAGAACCGTTGCTCGGGCCAGTTAGGCCGCCGATTGACGCGAAATTTGCACCCCTGGCGATTTCGCGCGCAGTTCCGCCCGCGCCCGCAGCCGCTTGATGCCTCGCCCCAGCGGCAGCCGTTTTCGGGCAGCTTTTTGTTCCTTGGCTATCTGTCCCCCGCCGAGCCCGCCCCCCGCGCCACCGCCCGCGGCCGCCCCCGCCGCCCCGCGCAATTTGCCGGGCTGGGTCAGAAGAAATTTGACGCGACGCGTGGAAGCACGGCGCATTAGGGCAGCGCAGCAGAAGAAAAAACACCGAAAACATAAACAAGAAAACGTTCCAATCCGTCCCATTCTCTCCTTCCCTCCCCCTCATTATGTACATGTTTCTTTAAGTATATTTATATTGTTCTTTCATGTGTTCTCTTTCTTTTCTGTTTTTGTTATCCCTCTCTCTCTCTGCTCATTGGTTTCGTTGGTATTTTTGTTTGTTTCTCTCGCTCTCGCTTTCTCTCTCTCTCTCTCTCTTCATTTGTGTTGTTTCTCTCTCTCTCTCTCCGCCTCTCTCCTTCTCTCTCCTTCTCTCTGTCTCTCTCTCTCTCTCTTCCTCTCGCTCTCCCTTTTTTTGTTGGTCCCTCTCTGTCTCTCTCTCGCTCTCTCTCTCGTTTTGTGATCGCTTGGAAAGGGGGGCGTTTGGACCCGGACCTCTCCCCCTTCCTCCCGTACTTTTTCTCTCCCCCTCTCCCCCTCTCCTCCGGCCGGCGCCTGCGTCGGCGGCTGCTGGCGGCGGCGGCGGGGACGACGATTTTTGGGGGGGGCCGGCGCCGGCGCCTGCGGCGTCGGGCGGCGACGGCGGGGAGCGTCGACGAGGACGACGATGGTGGTGGTGGTGGTAGTGGTTGTGGTGGTGGTGGTGGGTTGTGGTGGTGGCGGTGGCGGTGGCGGTGGTTGTGGTGGTAGCGGTGTGGTGGTAATGTGGTGGTGGTTGTGGTGGTGGGTGGTGGTGTTGGTGGTGGTGGTGGTTTGGCGGTCGTGGTGGTTCGTGGTGGTGGTGGTGGGTGGTGGTGGACGGTGGTGGTGGTTCTGGTGGTGGTTTGGTGGTGGTGTGGTGGTGGTTTGTGGTGGTGGTGGTGGGTTGTGGTGGTGGCGGTGGTTTGTGGATGTGGTGCTGGTGGTAGTGGTGGTGGCGATGGTGATAGTGGTGGTGGCGGTGGTGGGTTGTGCTGGTGGTAGTGGTGGTGGTTGTGGCGGTGGTGGTGGTGGTGTGGTCGAATGTGGTGGTGCTGGTAGTGGTAGTGGGTTTTTGTGGTGGTGGTGATGGTGAGTTGTGGTGGTGGTGGTGGTGGTTGTGGCGGAGGTGGTGGCTGTGGTGGAAGGGGTGTTTGTGTGGTGGGTTGGTGGTGGTGGTGGTGTTGGTGGGTTGAGGCCCTTCCGTCGCCGGCGACAGCGCTGGCGCTGCTGGCCGCCGCCAGCGCCGGCGCTGGCGCCAGGGGGCAAGGACGGGGGGGTGTGACCCCCCCTCTCTGTTGGGCTGCCTTTGGTCATCGTCGCTGCGTTCCCGCCGTCGGCGCTGAACCGTGCCATCCTTAGACGCGCCTGGGCCGCCCTGGGGCCCCCGCCCACCGACGAAACATCCTGATCTTCGGACGGGGCCCCCAGCCCACCCCCCTCGCCAACCCGCCCTTCCGAAACGAAGTTCACGATGCCCCCCCTCCACGTATTCTCCTTCCGAACCATTCCAAGCTGCCCCTCCCCCCCCCCCGCAAGAAACCTCAACAATGTGTGACCCAATACTTCGTCTGAATTTGGACCCGCCCTATGCACTCTTCTTGTTCGTTTTCGACCCCCCCAATTCGCGAAAGCCACCGACCGTTGACGGCCGCGCGCCCCGTGCCCCCCTCCAACCAGCGGGGCCGTTCGTTCTTTCGGATGCGGAAGCCTCGCGAGACCCCCGCAATCCTCCTCCCGACTTCTATGTCGATGCCCATCCCCCGCCCCCTGCCAACCACGAAGCCCCCCCCTTCCCCAGGCCCCCCCCCTCCGCCCATTCAGAAGGATTCTCCAATCAAGGATCATGTTATTAACTTCATTCGAACCGCATGCGAAATCTGGAACAGTGAGCTAGATTGTTACACGCTGCGACCACATGCTGCCGACATGCTTCGAGTATAAGCAAATTCGCTGCCCAAGCCTTTTGTTTTCCCCGAACTTAGGAGCTCATGTCAGGTGATGTGGTTGAATGTGGGTTTTCCCCCTACAGGGCCTTGGGGTTCCCAAGGGTCAAGGGCACCTGATGATGAAAGGACTAGGGCCTCTAGGCCATATGGGCCGTTCGGCAGCGTCGCCCCGCCCCCTCCCAAGGCCGCGCATTCCGATGCACGCCAGGCACACGCGTGCATCGGAATGCGCGTTTCGCGGCCCCGTCGGGGGCTCCACCGATGGCCCTCACTCGGCGCACGCCCCCCGCGCGTTTCGTCGCCCACAAGGAACCGCAACCGAGGACGATTCTCAAGACTGCGTTTCTGTTATTCACAGTTCCATATGGTACTAAGTCTGGGTCTTTCGTTTAGATATTTGTTGTGTCGTTCGTACCCCAGCTATTGTTTTTGTTGCTGCTGCGATTGCTGTCGCTGCTGCTGTTGCTCCTCACTCTTCCCCATCCAGTTCCTGATGGTTCTTCCCCTGATCGCCCCGTTACTTGTGCTCTTGGTGGCTCACCGAATCTGCTGACCCTTTGTGTCCCTCGTTTTCGTTGTGCTCGTCGTCGTCGTCCTCCTTCTTCTCCTCTCCCTTTTTCGCCATGCTGCTGATGTTGTTGGTGCCCCTCCTCCTTTTTTCTCCCTTTCCTCTTCCATCACCGTCCTACTGATGATCCTGCTGCGCTGCTGCTGCTGCTGCTTGTTCTGCTGCTGGTGACCCCCCCTTGTCCTCGCGCTGCAGCTGTTGACTCTGATCCAGCGGCACTTTTCAGCGCTCTCTCCACCAATGGTATTCATCCTGGCTTTGGCTCCCGGAGCCAGAAGGCGCAGCTCAGCCCCGGGGCCCCCCCAAAAAAGCGCACCGAAGGTCACTCCTACCCACGGCCACTTTTGCGTGTAGCTGAGAAACGCAATGGAGGCCTTGTTGGTATCTGTGGCGGCCGCTTGGAGGCCTTTTGAGCTGCGCCCGGGAGGTCCAGGATCCAGCTGTGGGTACAACACTCCCCCCTCGAACGTAGACTACCCACCTAACGTAGCCTAGACCTCGGTGACACCGAGCCCGGCCCGCGCGGAGTGGGTATGACACCTGCATTCTGGCGACCCGATTTTCTCGGAATGATGCTCCTGCTTGCGCGGGGGCCACATCTCTGATTGAAATGTTGCTGTCGCCTAGAAGCCGGCGACATCCTTCATTGAGCATTTGGTTCTCGCTTGTGCGTGGGCCACATCTCTGATTGAAACTCCTGCTGTCGCCTGGGCGCTGGCGACATTCTTCATTGAGCGTGTTGTTCTCGCTTGTGCGTGGGCCACATCTCTGAGTGCAAATGTTGCTGTCGCCCAGGCGCCAGTGACATCCTTCATTGAGCGAGTTGTTCTCGCCTGTGCGTGGGCCACATCTCTGATTGAACATGTTGCTGTCGCCTAGGCGCTGGCGACGCCCTTCGTTGAGAATGTCTTTCTCGCTTTGGGGCCAGCCACATCTCTGATTGAACATGTTGCTGTCGCCTAGGCGCCTCTCACGCCCTTCATTGAACGTGATGTTCTCATCTGAGCGTGGGCACCATCTCTGATTGAAAGTGTTCCTCTCGCCTAGGCGCCGGCGACTTCCTACATTGAGCATGTCGTCCTCGCCTGTGCGCGGGCCATATGTCTGATTGAAAGTGCTGGTGTCGCTCAAGGGCTGGCGACATTTTTTGATTGAAAATATTGTTGCCGCCTAGGCGCCAGCGACATCCTTCATTGAGCGCGTTGTTCTCGCCTGTGCGTGGGCCACATCTCTGACTGACAATGTGGCTGCCGCTTAGGCGCCAGCGACGTCCTTCATTGAGAATGTCGTTCTCGCCTTGGCGCCAGCCAAATGTCTGATTGAAAGTGCTGCTGTCGCCTAGGCGCTGGAGACATCCTGCATTGAGCATATCGTTCTCGCCTTGGCGCTGGCCAGATCTTGGATTGAACATGTGGCTGTCGCCGAGGCGCCGGCCACATCCTTCATTTAGCATGTCGTTCTCGCCTTGGCGCAGGCCACATGTCTGATTGAAAGTGTTGTTGTTGCCTCAGCGACGACGACATCCTTTATTTAGCATGTCGTTATCGCTGTGGCGCCTCTCACATGTCTGATGGAGTATGCTGCTGTCGCCCAGGCGCCAGCCACATCTTTCATTTAGCATGGCGTTCTCGCTGTGGCGCCGGTCACATGTCTGATGGACAATGTGGATGTCGCCCAGGCGCCATCCACATCTTTCATTGAGCATGTCGTTCTCGCTGCGGCATTGGCCACATGTGATTGAAACTGCTGCCTTCGCCTAGGCGCTGGCCACGCGCATGATTGCGATACTTGTTCTCGCCTCAACGGAGGCCGCACTCTCGACTCGGAGTGCTGCTTTCGCCCAGGTCGTGGGCGCCAGCAGCGCGCATGATGGCGATTGTTGTTCTCGCCCCAGCGCGGGCTGTGCTCTCGATTCGGAATGCTGCTCTCGCCCGGCGCCAGCCAAAAATGTGAATGCGAATGTTGTGCTGCCGCTTCGGCGCCAACCGCGCCCTTGAATGTGAATGCCCGTCTCGGCTTGATTAGGCTGTACCATCGCTGGGGCGCCTGCCACGTCTTGATTGCGAGCGCCATGTGCGTCGCTGGGAGAGACGCAGCCTCGCAAGCTTGTGGGTTGCGCAAGCTTCCGGATCACGGCCCTGTCCGAGGCCAGTGTGGTGCCAAGGTGCCGTTTGGATTGTTTCGCGTTGTGCTATTGGTTACCGTTTTGCTGGTCACATTGGTACTGCTGGTGCCGCTAGTAGTGCTGCGCATGGTGCTGCTGATTTCCGTCGTGAAGTGCTGCTTCCAGCGATGCTTCTCACAGTGGTAATCCTCGCTGCACTTGTGCTGGTGCGCGTAGTGCTGTTGTTTCCCGTCTGGCTGGTCGCAGTGGTGCTGCCGATGGCGCCCGTAGTGCCACCTGTTGTGCTGCGTCTTCCCTTCGTGCTGGTCACACTGGTGGTGCTGCTTCGCGGAAGGCTGCTGTCTCTGGCGATGCTCGTCACTGGTTCTGCTCCTTGCTCTTGGGCTGGTGAACGTAGTGTTGTTGTTTCCGGCCGTGCTGGTCACAGTGGTGCTGCTGGTGGCGATTGTAGTGCTACGCGTAGTGCTGCTGCTTCCCGTCCTGCTGGTCACACTGGCGCTGCTGCTGGCGTTCGTGCTGCTGCGCTTGGTACAGCTGTTTCCCGTCGTGCTGGTCACAGTGGTACTGCTTGTTACGCTTGTGCTGCGGGCTACCGTTGTGCTGGTCAAACTGTTGCTGCCGGTTGAGCTCGTGCTGGGGCGCGTGGTTCTGCTGTTTCCTGTCGTGTTGGTCGCGCTGGTGGCGCTAGTGGTGCTGCGCGTGGCGCTACTGTTTCCCGTCGTGTTCGTCACGACGCTACATGTTATGGCGCTGCTGTTACTGTGCGTTGTGGTGCGGCTTGCTGTCGTTATGGTCACAACTGGTGATGATGCTGATGATGACGATGATGATGATGATGCTGATGATAATGCTGATGCTGTGGCTGATGCTGATGCTGATGCTGATGCTGCTGATGATAATGACATGCTGATTATGATAATGGTGATGATGGTGATGCTGCTGATGATGATGCAGCTGATGTTGCTGATGATGCTGATGATGATGCTGATGCTGATGCTGATGCTGATGCTGATGCTGATGCTGATGCTGCTGATCTGTGATGATAGTGATGAAGAATATTACTAACAGGAGGAGGAGGAGGAGGAGGAGGAGGAGCATCAGCAGGAGGAGCAGCAGGAGGATGAGGAGGAGAAGGAGGAGGAGAAGGGTGGTGGTGGTGGTGGTGGTCTTGGTTGTGCTGAGGGGGCGCCCGAGGACCCCAGCAGGGGCCCGGAGCGGGACACCGTGCGGACCATCCGCAGGATCGAGGTCGTAGACGAGGGCGCAGGCGGCGGCCTCTTTTTTTCGGGGACCCACGAGGGGTCACTGTCGTCGGAGGGGGGAGAGGAGGGAGGATGGAGGAGGATGAAGGAAGAGGGGGGGGAGGGGGGTGGGATGGGGGGTCACCGTTGTCGGAGGCGGAGGAGCAGAGAGGAGGAAGGATGGAGGATAAAGGAAGGGAGGGGAGGAGGGAGGAGGGGGGACTGATCATCAGTTGGGTTACTCATGTGGTGAAAGGCCCCTCGGGGCCGTGACCGCCACACTGCGAGAGCCACCATCCCGAAGGGCCCATTGGCCAACGCAGTCGGGCTCGGCGAGCCATCGCCACCTGGCGGAGATCCTTGGCGGGAGGGGGGAGAATGGAGGAGCAGGAGGAGGAGGAGGAGGAGGAGGAGGAGGAGGAGGAGGAGGGAGACGGAGGAGGAGGAGGGAGACGGAGGGAGAAGGACGAGATGGGGAGGAGGGAGGAGGGAGGAGGTAGGAGGGGGGACTGATCAGTTGGATTGCCCATGTGGTGAAGTGGAAAGAAACATTTGGCGTTCGTCATTCAATGAGGGTGATTCCCGTGCTGAACAGATACCTGTAGGGACTTCTGCGGAGGTGACTTGGGACGGGAGAGTGTAGTATCATCGATGCATCTTGAGATTAGATTGGTATCGTCCCTGCTCCTCCTCCTCGTCCCCTTCGCCCCTCTCCCCCCTCCCACTTTCCTCCTCTCCATCGTCACCTTCACTCCCTCACCCCTCAGGTGGGGGAGGTGAAACAGCAGGAGCAGGAAGAGCAGCACCAGCAGGGGGTGAGGAACCACGCCCGTCAGGTCAGTGCCGGATTGACATGCAGCTGGACGGAGCGCTGTACAAGATGGCCCCCGCCCCCGCCAGCGAGGGAACGGAGCGAAGGGGTCCGCCTTTCCTCCGGTTCTTCCCCCTGGCGCGGGCATTTCAGTCTAAACGCCGCCAGTGGCCCGGAATACGCCGAGAACGAACGAGCTGCGCCGTCGGAAAGTCGCGATCGATCAAGGCTGAACGGTCCACGCCGTGCCAGATCGTACCCCAGTCCGTTTTGTTTGTCCGTACCAGAACGCCGTGCCACAAGGACACGAACCTGCGGCACGTACCTCTCTCCGTCTTTCTGCCCTGAGGTTCGGGCCCTGAGCCCCTGGCGCCTGCTGCAGACACGGCTCTTTACGGTCGGACTGAGGCAATCAGAACGTCGAGGTCGGTTCGGGGAGGGTACTTTGATGCTCCTCGTGCTTGATGGATGCTCTTGTGCATCTTGGGGGAGGGCCCCCTCGAATGATCTCCAGTTTGGGCTAGCGGAGGGTCTCATGTTCTGGAAGGATGTGCTTTTGCCCCTGAGGTTCGGGCTCGAACCCCCTGGCGCCTGCTGCAGACACGGAACCATACGGTCGGGACGAGGCATGAGATCAAGGTCGGTTCGGGGAGGGTGCCCCCTGCTTCTTGGATGTTCTTGAGCATCTTTCGAGGCATTCTCGATTTTTTTTTCAGTTTGGTCGGCGGAGGGTCTTCTGTTTTTGAAGGATGTTCGTCTGCCCCAGGTCCAGCCTGACGTACCCCTTTCTGTCTTCCTGTCCTAAGGTTCGGGCCCTCAGCCCCTGGCGCCCGCGGCAGACACGGCTTTACAAATTGCGAAGGACTTGCGGCCAGCTCCACTCGGCCACGCGCAGACGGGGGTTCGGGGGAGGGGGGAAGGCTTTTTAGAAACACCCCTGATTCTTAGAAGGCGTGGGCCTTCTCTATAGGTGTGGGGCCAGCGCTTTTCAAGAAGCAGCTTCCTTCTAAGAAATCTTCCCCCGTTACCCATACCCCCCCTCTGCGCGCCGCAAAATGGTGTTGCGAAGGCCTTGCTGCCAGCTCCACCGACCCTGGAGTCGCCCCAGGACGGACTAGGTGGGCAGGGGTGCGCGAGGGAAGCCTTGGTGGAGGCTTCCACGTCCAGTTTTGGGGCCGCCTGGAGACCATCTTCGCGGCCTCTGGGGCTGTTTTGCCCCCAGCGCCTGCTGCAGGCATCAGTGGCCACATGTGAACCCTACCCCCACCCCCCACGATTTCTGAGGGTGGGTGGGGATTCATTTCCGGAGTTCCCGAGCGGAGTGAGTTCCCCCTTGGACATCGGAGATGGTGAGGGTACGTAAGGTTCGCATATGGCCCTGAGGCACGGCTGTGTCTTTCGTTATCCGAGGTGTTCTGTTTTTCGTTTGCCTGAATGCGATGCGCTACGTGCCAGAGGCACGGCGGCGGGTAGGCCAGGAACTTTGCCAGTATTTGGGAAGATCTGCCTACCGCAGGTTTCTTCGCGTCGAGCGGACAGGCACCGCGGATCGAACGGGGGCGTTCCTGCTGAAGACGTTCCTTCCGCCTCCTCCTCCCTCCGCCTCCTTCCACTCCCTCCTCCGTCCCTCCTCAACTCAAGCCACTTCGGCCCGAGCACCAAGTCCTCTCCCCCCGTGGAGAGGCCGCGTGATTCGGGCCGCCTCGGTGCCTCCCCGTGGCGCTTGAGGGACAGCTCTAGTAGAGGGTACAGTCCAGCCCTTTCACTTTTGCTGACGAAAGCCGAGATGTCTTTCGCAAGTCCGAGGCTCTGGTCGACATGTCAGTCTTGTGGGACGCAGGAATACAATGATCGATTGATTAGTCGTGGCCAGCTATGTACTTGCGGAAAGAAAGTCAAGCTCTACAAGGGCAAGAAACAGCCTCAGGTTCCGGCTGGAGGTTCTGCAGGAGGGGTTCCAAAGAGCGCTCTTCGCAAGCAGGTTACCTTTGCAGTTGGTGAGAAATCTGAAGGCGGGTCTCGTTCCTCCACGCCTGGCCATTCCCCTCGCGGGTCAGTTGGGCTGCAGAAGGGACAGGATGTTCTTTTTGGTCATTTGCAGGCGGCGCTTAAAGCAGCCACCGATCCAGATCTTCGTTCATCCCTGGAGATGCAGCTCAAGAAGCTCAAGACTGCTGCTTCGGGTACTGGTACCAACGTGGTGTTGGCCATGCAGCAGGCAGACGGGGCTTGGAGAGATGCCAAGAATCGCCATCAGCAAGCGGTCAAGTCCGTGATGAGATTGGAAAAGAATCTTGAGGCTGCACGCGAGAAAGAATCCAGGCTTGCTCGTGAAGTAGCGGAAGCCACGCTGGTGCGGGCTCAGGCTGCATCTGCGGTTGCCAAGCTCGAGGGCGTCAACACTGCACGTGGTGACCCTGGAGGAGGTGAGCCAGCAGATAAGAAGCCGTTCGACATTGTGTGGGACCATGAACTATTCGCTAATTTGGAGGAGCTGGAGTGCGAGCCGCACGAGCGGGACACACTGAAGAAATGTCTGGAAGAGTTGCAGGCGCAGAAGGCCACGCTGTCTTCGAAGGCTGACGAGGTCACTCAGCTGGTTGATCGGGCAAGGTCTACGAGGGCCACCATCTCAGAGCGTTTGGCCAAGAAGCGTCGCAACGCTGATGATGACGTACCTGGTGGTGCATCGTCGGGCCAAGCTCAACCTGATGCAGCGCCAGCACCGCCGCCGACGACGGAGCAGACCCAGAAGCAGCAGGAGGACCACGCCGCCAAGGTGGCCGCGGAGGCGGAGCGCATCTCCGCCGCGCAGTTCGAGGCGCAGCGGCTCGCGGCGCAGGCGGCGCCGCCTTCTGAGGGCTCTGCTGTTGCATCTTGACTAGGGACCTCGAGGTCCCTGGGCGTGGCGACTTTCAAGCCGCGCGAGCGTCCTGCTCTGCCTGAGTTCTCCGCCGTATTGTTCGGGAATGTTACGTCCATGGGCGATGAGGTTTGGGATTTTGTCTCAGCTGGTTTGCAGGATAAGTCTTTCGATGTAGTAGCTTTAGCAGAGACTCATGTTTCACGGTCTGCCCTTCTCCCGTGGCAGAAGAAAGCTCGGAGAGATAAGATTCGAATGCACGCGAACCCAGCTCGCAAGACTGGTCGAGCGGTCACGATGGCTGGGCAGGAACGCGACACTGAGGGTGGTGAGTGGATTTTGATGCCTGGACACAGGCAAGCACATTCATTGAGCCATCAGTGGGATCGGGTCCAGGAGTTTCAGTTTGACGGGCAGCTCACGGTTGGTGGTTTCGCTGCTGTACATATATATATATGACTGGTTACTCGTATGTGCTAGTCTCTTTTTACGCTTATACTTATGTAGGCATGGCTAGTTCCAACATGCAACGTTTTGCTAAACTCGGGGCGTTTTTGGCGGCGTTGAAGCTCCCTTGGGGTCCTCCTTGGGGACTTTAACACGTCAGCTAGCGCATTGGGAAAGGCTGGCTTTTTCGCGCGTGTAGGGGGGCAGCCAGTGCTTCCAGCTACTGAATATACCTGCAATGCGAGCAAGTCGGGCACGACCATAGATTTCGCTGTCGTCAGTGCCGCCGCCGCCCCATATTTCCACTCAATCGAGCCTGTTTTTCGGGTCCCTTGGAAGACCCACTGTGGTCTTAAGCTTCTGATGCGTTCCTCGGGCAAGCAATTGGTCCAGCGGGCCCTGGTTCTGCCGTCAAAGCTGCCCCAGGTGTCCAGGCCCACGACTCGGCCCACAGCTGGCTCGAAGTCGCAAGTAGCTAAAGCTCAGCGAAGGGTCAAACAGGCTGCTTTCGCGGAGCGGCGTGATGAATATTACAGTCAGCTTTTTTTTTTCGGACGCTTGGTCACGAGAGGATCGTGAGCGGCAGGCGGCGAGAGAAGTTATCGCGCCTCATGACTTGGATGCACTGTCTGATGCGCCCTCGGAAGAGGACCCGTGGGCGCACGAGCTCAACTTTATTGACGATCGTCATTCGACGTCGCTAGGAGGTCAAGCACCCTCGGCTCCGTTGGGAGAAGAGGATGAACGATCTCCTGGCGAGGCAGATCAGGGCCGACCTGGCCAGCACGGCGTGCCCATCATGGGCGGGCGATTTCACTTGCCCCATTATGCTCAGTCAATCGCTTGGGGCAATGTTGGTGAAGATCGCACATCGTCGTCTCAGAGCCTTACAGGTGACCCTCCCGACGTTCGTGTTGAGCCGCCCCCCTCAGGTACAGATGAAGGAGCCGAACCTAGTGTGCCGTTTTGCATTGCCGACGAGACGTGGGTGAACGCTCGCGCTCAAGTTGGACTGCAGTCGCCCCCGCTCCCTGCTCCTGCCTTTGCTTCGTCAGTAGCTGCTAGGCTCGGATCCGATGTTGTGAGCCCAGTTTCAGCCCTTTACGGTTCATGGGTGAAGGCAGTGGAGACGACGGTGTGCGATCATCACGGCATTACTCAATTGCCAGGTATTTCTCGTTCGCAAGGATATTATTTTGTTGTCCAGGAGGTTCGAACCCCCGTCAAAGCAAGAGTTTCCCCCTACAGCAATATTGTTGCAACTTGGTGGGAGCAGTTGGCGGTGGTCTTGGAACGGATTCAGGGACACAGGTCTAAAGGGAGCGGGGTTGCACAGAGGGAGCAGTTGAGAGTTTCGATTCGTCATCTGTTAGAAGAGGCCCCAGACAGGGCCCACACGGGGATTCGCGTTGGGTCGGAGCCATCTTGGGAAGCCTGGTCTCAGCTTCTGCAAAGAGGGGCCACAGTGTCAGCCATCATTCTTCAGAAGTTTGTAGCTGCGGCACAGAAGATAGCTCTTCGCACCAGGCGGAGGGCTCTCCGCTCTTCACTGGATAGTTTCAAGGACTGGTTTATGACCAAAGAGGCTGAGGGCCACTGCATCGATCTATGAGGGCTGACCCTGCGGTGTCCGATGAGTTGGTCTCGGAAACTTCGGTTTACTGCAATCCCCTGGAGATGGTGGATCAGAAAGCTCAGCCATTTATCAAGTTGTGGGCCCCTCATCCTCTGCAGGAGGAATCAGTCTGCCAGGCTTTTGCCG